TTTCTGTATAGATTATCAAAGTACTCTAAAAGACCTTCAATTTGAGCCGGTATACGTTAAATTTAATTTATTTGGTATTGCAAAAATGACGAATGAAGGTCAAAATTAAAAAACGTAATATTTATTGCAAAATTGCTTTTTTATTTATTTCAAATGTATGACATTCAAGCTTATAAAATTACGAATCGAATGGGCCGTAGTAGGCCTAGATCGCTTAATTTTTTGCTGAGATACGTTAATTAGTTTTATCCCACGACCTTCAACTTTGAAGGCTCATAGGATTCCAAAAAAAATGGTAGATGGCTAATTCTTGTTTCATTCTCTTTCTAAAGCCGTAAATTTTCATATTCCACTGAAAAGTAATGAAAATGTTTTTTTAACCCGTTAAAAACAATTATTTATGAAGTTGTAAAATTGCAGTTATAAACATTTAGATCAGCAGCGCCCCCTATGTACCCTACAAATTTCTAATTTGCAGATCATTATCATTCGTCATTTTTGCAATAACAACTAAATGAAATTGAACATATACCGGCTCAAATTGAAGGTCCTTTAGAGTACTTTCATAATCTATAAATTACCCATTACAACACTTTAGGAAAAAAAATGAAAAATACTCAAAAAATACGTATTTTGCACCTATAAACACTCATAAATAAACAATAACCGAAAATTCTTTGTTGAATGAACTGGGGGTATTGCCCTTGATGTTGCCCTTTATAATCTAGGCCACATTACATACATTCCTGGATTTCAGTGTAAAATCACCCTTTTTTCACCCACAGCCTAGACTATAAATAATTAACTACAATTACAAAAATACTCTATGAGTTCCAGAAACTCATGACACGCTTCGATATGACATTTAATGACAATAAAACAGTTTCAAAATTAAATTTTAACCTTGAAATGATGTGCAACGTTTATGCCAAATTTTCTAGACTGTTCTTCAATCAAATTCAACAAGAAACAAAATATCCTGAATTAGTATTTATTATAACGGTTTTTGTAGTGTTTTGACAATTTTTTTTATTTGTTTGGATGAACTAGTACCGTTTTGGTCGAGAAACTGGAAAAAAATTGTCACCTAAACATTCATCATATAACATATTGTAGCTAAAAGCATTTTCAGTACGAAAATTTCTCTTCTCAATTTATAATACATCCCAGCTCATTCTAAAAAAAGACTTAAGTTGTCATTTATACAAGCCGCAAGGAGTAACGTAACACCCAAAATTAATAATACCGACAACTCACCGCAATTGCAGATAATAAAGTTTTTACCTGATTACGCAAAAAATTTGTTTAATAATTACTATTTTCAGCAAATTCTGCAGCTTTATGTTAATTTTGGTATTATTTCAACTATTACATGAAATAATACGCAACATTTAAATTTGGCAGTCTACTCCAATTTTTTTCAGCCAGTTTCAGAAGAAGAATCGATTACTTAAAACTTAAAGTAGAGACAGCAAATTATTCAAAGTGTACAGCAAAAACTAGAAAATACATAAATATACCAGCGCAACTAGAGAAGAAGAACAAAAAAAGTACAAAAAAAACACTCTAAACACTACGCAAAATTATACAGTAAGGTGTAGATTTTAATATAATACTAAAACCTAATACAATTTTAATACAAATACCAAACTACTGTCTTTCACATAAAAACTTTAAAATAAATTTTTAATTAAAAAACAAACAAATTCTATTTTGACTTTAAATGCCATAAAAATATTTATTTAAATTAATAAAAGAACTCACATCATTCCCATCATCATGTTTAGAATTTCACCAATTGTCCAAGTTAAAATAATTTTCACTGACACACACATTAAAAGATCCTGCTGCATTGGGGCAAGTTCAGGGAAAACAACACCCAACCGAAGTTAACACACTATAATATCACGGCGAATGTTGGTCAGGAACCCTACTCAAAACAATGAACATTTCTGATGCAACATTAGGAAATAAAAATATCGTAATTTTTAAGAAGATATCTCCTAGCTGCCAAATAATCATAAAGAATAGTATATTTAGTACTTTATAAACATATTATTGGAACGTTGTGCATACTATGCATGTGATTAAATTCAAACCTATATAAATATCATTCGCACTTTTTGAAAAATACCCGCCGAAATTGTTCAACTACTAGTTTAAATACGATTGGTTGACACTGGAGGCGTCATTCTAGTATGCTTTATATTATTGGCGGTAAATTTAAATTTTTAAATGGAAACAAGGTTGATTTAATGACTAATTCAATTATTTCATTTGGCAAAAAGACTAAAACTTGCATTAGAAAGGCCTCAAGATATTTTAACCTGCCTTGTTTTCCATAATATTTATTATAGCCACTAGTTATGTTAGAATCAACTATATTATGTATGGATGGTCAGAATATGGAGGAATTTGAATGTATATTTTGTCTCTTGTAGTCATAAACCACAGTTTTTATTGTCTATGACATATTTTGTATATATGTATTCATTCAATTCAATGACAGCATTTTGTTTATTTTTACCATGGAGGTAAGATTTAGCACAATTTTTAAAATAATCTGTTTTGAATACCATTTCTGAAGTTAAAATCAAAACACTAGTTAGTTAAAAATGTAATTTTCATTACAATCAATAATTGTGACTTAATTCGATATAAACATAATATTTAAATTGTCTATTTTTATTCAGTTTACACACTGAACCTTATACTTATGCAATCAAACATACATCCGAAAAAATTGTTGCATAGCTTAAGTCAGCTACTGTAATGCAGAAAGGATTGGTAAATTTAAAGGAAACTGTGGAAAATATTATCTTAATATAATCCTATATTTATTTTAAAACGATATTCCAAAGTTGTCTTTCTTTTACTGGTGTTTGCTATAACACACAATGTCACAAGGCAAGTACATTTTTGTAGGTATGTATTAAATTCTCCATTAAAACTATTTTATTGGTGTTTACTTTGAATATTTCGCGATAAGATGCTATTATTTAATAAGCTTTGTTAGAGCAAATATATAAATACATACAATCTTAATTATTTTAATTGACGCTTGAGTCATCTCAATGTTTGTCAAGTGACGCAAACATTGTTTTTGTTAACCTTTTTATCGTGAGCTGATGTAATCACAGGTAATTTAATAATTCTGGAAAGAACATTTTGTTTTATATAAACAATAGGTTATTATTAGACAGCGCGTTCGAAATTTTATTCTTTCTAAGTATTAAACAGTCTTTTTGTTGTATATTTTGCGCCATTTATTTAGATGTCCTTTGCTTCTTGGATATTAGGTGGCTTTTTCCTTACCTTTAACAGTTCTAAATGTGTTTTCGTGTAGGTTTCTCCTTTCACCCATTTATTTAGTATCTTTGACTATTGTCTTTTATAAATTCTCATGAAATAGTGTTTTTTTATTGACTTAAATGTATTTTATTGCTCCTACATTGAATTTGGCGGTAGCGGGTAGTACTCCTCTACGATTTCGGCAGAGGACAGGCTGCTAAAGGAAGTGGCGTCCCTGCCGTACGCTAGCTACTGACTTTCTCCTATGTCCAAGCCTTTAGGAGAGGTCAGGTCCCCAACCTCTCTTACTATCCATTTTCCAATCCTTACCACATCCCTTAATGACATGACACAAACTAGAAAAAGGCCCTTAGTCCCCAAGATTAGACCAAGGGCAGAAGGTGCAAAGAATCAGCGGGATAGACACGGCTACCATGGACAACGAACATTGCATATTGCCACGTATAATGTAAGAACCCTTGCAACTGAAGATAAGCTCATTGAATTACAGGAAGAACTTGACTGCATAAAATGGGATGTATTGGGACTTTCGAAACACGAAGAAAATGAGAAAACCAATTAGTTTTACAATCAAGGCATCTGCTACATTCCATTGGAGAAAACGATAAGGCAGTTGGCGGCGTAGGCTTTCTGGTGCACAAGAAACACCTAGATAAAATTATAAAAATAGAGAGTGTAAGCTCAAGAGTTGTGTACCTCATATTAAAACTGAATGAGAGACGCTCTATTAAAATTATCCAAGTATATGCACCCACGACGAGCCATAGCGATGAAGAAATCGGAATCTTTTATGAAGATATAAGTAGAGCTATAGAAAAAGATAAAACCCACCACATAATCTTAATGGGCGATTTTAACGCTAAGCTTGGATTTAAAGAAGATAACGCAGAAGTGGCTATGGGCGAATTTGGATACGGTGAGCGAAATGATAGAGGAGGTGTGCTACTACATTTTTTGTTGCATCATCGGCTCTATGTGATGAACACATTTTTCAAAAAGAACCAACAACGTAAGTGGACGTGGTCTAGTCCAGATGGCATAACAAAAAACGAAATTGGTTTCACCATCACAAACAGAAAAAATATTGTGCAAGATGTTACAGTAATTAATAAAATGACTGTTGGAGTGACCATTGGTTGGTTAGAGCAAATATAATGATGAACATTAGACGAGAGAGGACAGCAATGATAACAGAGAGGCATTCTAATAAATGAAAATCGATAGAAGATAGAGTAGCTTATCAGAATCTCATAACTTCAGAACTGAAAGAAGTAGAACATCTAGATGAAAGTGCATTAGATATAGAGGTGACAAACAAGCGAATAAATTGTATGATTCGATGCAAGTTGGATAAATTCACTCAAGCTACTAGGGCATGAGATTTGCTTAGGCCGAGATAATCAGACAACTGAAATACAAAGAAGGATAGGTCTCACATGGGCTGCCTTTGGTAGATTAAAAAACATTTTCAAGTATATTATCCCAGTTTGTTTAAAAAGAAAGGTTTTTAACCAGTTATGGGAGGCCTACGTTCAGCAATGGACAAATATAGGCTAATTGATGATGATGATGACATTGAATTAAATTTCTTTTTGCTTATGTTTATTAAATAATCACCAAAATTAATACAGGTGTCAAAAGAAGTGGATAAATTAAAACAGGATTTTGTTGTAGAATAGAATGCAAACTAAACTAAAAAAATAAAGTTTTATTAACAATATTATAACATTAGGTTTTGATCTTAATGCTTCTAGAAACTGTGGATTTAATACCAGATATTTCTCCCCCATATCTTGACAATTCCTTTCTTGGTTCCCGAACCTACAAAAAAAGAATATAATTAGTTTTGATGCTATTTGATCAGCTAATGATAATAGTTATATATTTATAACTGCATACAATGCAACAATTATTGCAGTAAATAATAAGCAATCAACATAAATTAATCCACTTACAGCTCCTTTACGTCTAATGATAGCTTTTTTGTACTTAAGCTTATGTTTGACTCTAGGATTCCTCTGTTCCTTCTTCCTATGTGGCGTAAGACCTTTATTTTTCGCCATTTCATAGGTAATGGCTCTCTTGGAAGGTTCTTCTGAAAATAAAATACAAAAATATTTTGAAAAACCATGAAAATTCGTCTACATGCTAAATGGAAGAAATAAAATCTTTTCTGTAGCTAAAAAACTTATTTTGTGGTCCTTGAGAGACTTCTGTATCTATTTTATAACAAAACTTATATCAAAGTGATGACAAATGGAACACAAACTGAAAATAATTCAACAATTTGATGAGAAAATTAAAAGATGAACAAAAATAATAGACAAAAATATTGATATTCTCTTTAAAAATTGTTATAGCTATACAGCTGTGACAGGAAATAAAAAAATAGTGAGAAAATATCACAAAACCAACCTTCTTCATCTTCCTCTATAACTTCAGTATTTTCTACTGCTTCTTCTTCTTCTTCAGATGAACTCATTTCTTTCTGCTTCACTTTTTCTTTTTCTTTAACTAGGCTACCCTCATCAAATTTGACTCTTTTAACAATCTCAGGAGCTTGTTCATTACTTGACTTCCGTTTAGGAAGTTTTTCAAGTGCTGTTTTCTTTGCAATACTTGTTAATAATTTTAAAGTTTTCTTTGTTTTCTTAGGTTTTTCAGTATCAGCTTCCTTTGTACCCTGAAAGTCAAAATATAACTTTCTACAGTTCTGTTTAAGTAAAAGAAGGGAAATATATAGAAAGTAACATAATATTCATTAAAAAAGACATAAAACTAAATAATTTCATACTTACTTCATTTAAATCAGGTCTATTTGTGGTTTAATGATTTCCTCATACACTGGTTCTAATTTTAGAAGCAACTGGCGGTACTGGTATAGACGTTTAATTAGAGGATGGTTCTGCACATTTGCTTTTGAAGACTTCAGTAAAAGGTACATATAGATATTGGTACAATAGCTAAAATAGATAAAAAAGTTATACAAGAGGTGCCACTACAGACTAGCACTAAGATTCATACTATGTTTTTTGTATTTTTATTTATCTATAAAAGTTTAACATAGAATGTTTTTCTAATAACTCTTTTTGTCACACTTTAATACAATTTTTAAACTGATAATTGTAAAAATCTGGCAATATATTTATGAGATAATTTTAAAATGAGAAGAAGAGAATAAAAATGAAGGTCCAATTTCATAATGATAACCTAAACTAAACCTTAACTAATGTTTACATATCAGCAGATTAATTTTACTTACTTTAATATCAATTCATATTTAAACTGTACAAAATCCACAGCTTTGCATTGTGGTATCTCTCCAGCTTCAGCCTTTTTCAAAACAGGATGTAAATATAAATTTGCTACAGTCATTTTATCTGAAATATGAATATTAGTACTAAATATTTTAATTGCAACATTTTGTTTCAAACCTACTTTGGAAATCTTGAACAAGGTTGAAGAACTCAGGTGATTCTTTCTGCATAATTTGCAGTTTTTGTCTTTTAGACAACTTTGAAATATCAGTTTTAATGATCTCTTCATTCTGTTTATCATCTTCCTCAGCTTTCTATTATGAAAACAATATTAGTTAGATCATATGTAACTAAGGATAGACAAATCTTACTTTTGCAAATATATCCAGGCCAAAATCATCATCATCTAAGTGCTGGGCTAGTTGTTTCTGAAGGTTTCTTGCTTCTTCTTCCTCTAATTCGGCAAGCTGAGCATCTTTTCCTTGAAAACCTCCATAATCACCATCTACATAATCAGTTTGATAAAACTTTCTTTTATCTTTGCCCCATGCTCTAGTATCTGGTAAATCGTCTTCCTCCTGCCCTTCAACATCACTTAATGCTAAATCACTTCTGTCTCCCTCGTCGTCGTCTTCAGTATCTTCTGATTCATCGCCTCCAACACCAAAAACTTCTTGCTAGCAAAGTATATTAAAAAATTAACCAATTTGATTAATAAAACTCAAAAAATATACGTATGTTTTACACATAATTGCTCACCTTATCATCTGAAAACTTCTTGCCTCTATTTCTTACTTTATCAAGTAATATTTTTTCATTTTCTGTGTAGTCCTCGTCAGAGTCTGATGCACTATAATCCTCGTTATTATCAATCCTAAAATAGAGAATAAAGAACAAATACATTTAATAATCAAATATATGATAACAATAATTAAAAATTACCTCATTTCCCTTTATCAAAAAAATTACAAAATATCCTAAATTAAAGGCTAAAATTTGCACGCAGTAAACATAACCAAAAAAACACGCACCACGCACTGACATTTCATTTAAAGTAAGTTATATCCATACTGATCATTATTCATAAAATTATGGAAAATGACCAGTATGAATGTTTTTTCGTTTATGTATGTGTAGATGATACGCTTCCTTTGTTTTTGTTTTGATGTCGAATATCAAATATCAGATGATTATGCACAAATATGTAAACTGACTCATTATTGAAATTTAAAGATAAAATGACAAATACATTAAGGAAGGAAGATTACTTAATACAAATTAGGGATAAGTTGAGAAGAGATGGGATTAAATTATGGTTACCACCGTATTTTAAAGGTTCAAATGCTTCGGAAGATGACATTAAGGTAAGACAAATATTACAATATTTATCAGTATATTTAATGGTATCACATTCTAGAACTTGTCGGAAGACTTCAGCAAGCATTTAAATATTCCACCTGATATTTGCCAAGAAATCATTAAAGATTTGCAGAATAACGCCTTGGAAAACTTGAAGCAAAAGAATCATTATAAAGAATCTGGATTGGCTACCATAAAAATTAAGATTTTGCACAAAAATTCGCCACCAAGGGTCATTCAAAAAGAATTGTTATTATCTATGATTACCAACGAGTTAAAGGACCTTGTCAGAAATGAAATCAGTGTTTCATCTGAAGGGCAAGTAATTTTACATCCCGGTATTTAGATATTTAATGGATTTTTCATTCTAGATTAAAACTGATATGCTCAGGACGAGTGTTAAATGATTTGGACTCTTTGGGAAGCCAAGGAGTGAAGAACGGTTCTCAAATGCTAGCAATAATATTATCTGAATCACCAACCCAAGTCTTCCAAGCTGAGAATCAAATAAAGGAACTTGAAAGTGTCAAAACAGATTCAAAGTTGTTAGCATTGGATAATGAATACATGCAGTTAGAAGACCAATTTGGAAACCCCATCAAAATACCCCCCAAGGAAAGGAAAGCTTTGGTGGTTGCTATGGCTTTGCATGAAAAGGGAAAATCAGCTTTGAAACGAAATGATTACTCAAGAGCTTTGGTGTTTTTTCTTGAAGCTGATCAAGAATTTAGGTAAACACTTCTTTTTGTTTAACTATACATTTGTAAAGTACACATTTTTTCCAATTTTATTATTCAAGATATTTCCACACAAAGATATACAATGGAAGTCCCTGCTTTTTTTTAAATACATTTCCAATTCTAATTAGTACTTATATTTTAGTCAGTGTAATTCCCAACTGTTGAAAACCGTTGACAACTATGCCCTTTTGGATTTGGATATCGCCTGGTGTTATTTATGCTTAGAAAGCTTTGTTCAGTTGCCAGAAGCAGAATCCAGGCTGAAAAGATGTGAAGAAAAGTTTCATTCGACTTATGGAAATAATCTAGAAAGACTGGTAGCTGTTAAAGGGACTCCAGGTACTTTATTATATAGGTATGGCCCAATAATAAGGAAAATAAAATACAAATAAAACAAGGGTACATACAGAATTAAAGACAAACTTAACAATACATAGATATTAGATGTTAATATCGAGACTGCCTCTAGGTACTAGTTTATGTTTAAAAACCAATGTATTGTTACTAGATATTAAATAGTATGGTTCAATAATAGATAAATTTATATTTGTTACAGGAAATGAAGAAGCATTGTTTATGCGCCTTCATTTACTTCAAGCCATAGTTCTATATCACCAGAATAAAAGGGCAGAGGCTTTGCTTTTGTTGCGTAAGGTAGAGGAAGAGATAAATTCGTTAAAAGTCGATGACGATAGTGTAGTGACTCTAATAGAGTTGGGTAAGTGTTGTATACACTTATTCATTATATAACTTTGTCATTGGTATGAGATCTCTACATCTAACCAGTATAAAACAGTCTAATACTTTTGTAGGATACTCATCAAAGGAAGCTACATTAGGGCTGAGAGCAGCGCGGGGCAATGTCAATGAAGCAGCTAATTACATCAATGAGAATAGAGAAAAAAGAGCCGAAGGAAGAAAAAAAGCTGAAGCAGAAGCTATTTTAGAAAAGTAAGTGTTTTGATAAAAATATGTTAATATAATATTTGTACTTTTATACACATGCATCAAGAAAACACATGTTTGTTTTAGAGAACGAAAAAAACTTGGTTTATGTAATGACGGAAAACAATATGTGGATCCTAAATTTGTAAAGATCCTAGTTAATATGGGGTATAATAAAGAGGCTGCAAGAGTTGCACTTAAAAATACCAATAATATAATTTCGGACAGCATTCAGTACATCCAAGAGAATCCATTACCAGGATCAAGCAATTCCAAGAGCACTGAGATGATGTCTTTTGTTGATGATCTGACCAAACAGGTATGTGAAGATTTTTCATGGTTTTAATGAATGTTTGTGTATTAAAAAGAATAAAAATTATAAGTTTTGTAAAAAATAATTCAAGAGAAGTTTGTAAATACACAATCTCTCAATAGTCAGCTTGCAAGTTTTATTACATTGTAATTGTCTTTTAAAGTAGTCAAGATTTGTGCTTATATGGATGCTATATTTTTTGAAGATATTCAACAAAAAGTCACTTTAAAACAGTCAAAAGCTTTCATATAGTCAATGGTACACAAATATTCACATTAAGCTATTTCTTATATTTTGCAGCAGGATTGGGAGCTAAGTAAAATCCTGTTGTTCTTAAATTTCCAAAAAAGTTAAAAAAAATAATTAAATAAGGTAGTTAGAGAATTTTAAATGACAAAAATCATCCTTACACTATATTTAAGTAAAAAACTAAATATTTTTATATTTGAGATTAATTCATCACAACCAATATTAGTAGCTGCTACATTTTATATCAGACATATTACATATCACTTGCATAAAACAAAGAAGCAGCACAGCACAGAGTTTAGATTTTGTGCATGGAGTTAGATTCTTCTTTCGTTTTATGGCCTCCACCTCTTAGGTATGTGGCCAATGGAGTTAGATTCTAACTCCATGGTATGCAACACATCATACATCAATCTGCTTTCATTTTCATCTACCTTTAATGTATACCAAAATTCTGACAAGTGATTAATTCAAGCTTGAAGAAGCCGGGTTTGATCCAAGAATGGCTAAATTGGCTCTATCCAAGCATTCAGGAGATATTCAGAAGGCAGCTGAAGAACTGATCGCCAACGATGGTATTATTCTAGGAGACTTATCCAATTGGTGTAAGTTTTTATTTGTATCAGTTAATATGTACATTCTCCTCTAAGTGTCTATGCATCTATCATACTTTTACTTCTAGTTGGTGCCGAAAGTCTCGACAATATAAAAAAGAGAAGACAAGAAGATAAAGAAAAAAACGAAGCCTTCCAAAGATTGAAAGAAGATATAGATATCGTTGACGATGACTATTTGGACATTAATCTCGTCCAGGAAGAAATCTTCCTCAAAGAGTACCTGTCTTTGTTAAATGAATAAATCTCGAGTAGCGAGCTCCGCGATGTTGTACTGTGAGGTAGGCAACACAACATACAACGATTTTAAAAACGTCAATTTTCAATTAATTGGCCAATGGTAACACTTTTTTATTAGATTTAAGTTTTCAAGGTTATTGAAAATTGTTAGCATCCCATGATAAATAATTAACATATTTCATAGTAAATATCGATCAAGCCAACTGATATTTTAGAAAAAAGAAGTGATAATTAGAGATACATATTATTATATCTCTGGTATTATCTCTCCCTAATTCAATTAAAAATTATTAACATGTCAAAAAAAATTATTTCTTGTTGGTTAAAATGACATTAAGCTATAGTCATACTATCAGATACGGGTATTAAAACGTTTAGAATGATTTTCACACTGAAAGAGGCTTCAAAAACTGTTTATTTTAACTAAAAAATTATCAGTCTTTTATTTGTTCTAGAATATAATGTTTTTTCACCATTTGAAGCATTACATCGTCAGCTGTATGCAATAGTGGCACAATACAAAAACTGGTAGTTTTTCAAAACAGGGGTTTAAAGTTAGTGTGCCAATAATTTTGTGTTTTGGTGTATTTGGGAGAGCGTTAGGTATCCTTTAATGAATTATAAGAGAGATTTTAAATTCAATCCTTATTTTGAGTTGTGCCACTATTGCATTTTGTCTTTCAAAACTAATTAAGGCAAAGACAAGACTGGCATTTTTTTGTTATTTCTATCAACTGAAATAAAGTTTCAATAAAGATTATTACAAGTTACTTAAAAATGTGTTAACAACTATAAGAAGAACGAAATAAAAAAAGTATATTAATAATAATAGGAAGTTTTCATGCTTTAAATGTCGGTAGAAATGAGCTGAATTCTTGTTACACTCTTGTCACAAAGGTTATAATACTAAGGTCTTTTCATTTATTCGCAGGCTGTCAGTGTAAGCCTTTTCTAGTCCTATAATATTCATGATTTCTAAACCTTTCCTTACTACTATTAAACTATTAAAACCAAATAAATTTATTCCTTTTATTTAATTTGACACAACTCCAAAATTCTCACTGATACAGTTGAAAATATCCAAAGTTGTTTACTATAGTGGCACAACTAAAAAGTGCCGGTATTGCATAGAAGCTTGACACCGACAGGGTTCGACTTCCACTGCACAACTAAAAGGGCCAATATTGCAAGAAACAATTTATCTCAACCGACAACATGTCATATTACACTAGTGACGTCCAGCGGACATTTATGCTATTATTATTGTGCCAGTTTTTCAGGTCATAAATCTCTGGCGAGGTTAACTCAATTTTGTCACTTTTTGAGTTAAGCCGCTATTGCATACGGCCGACGATATGGACTATTGGTTGAAATAACTTTATAATTGAGTAAGAAAAATTATCTCACCTCACATAACCATAAATGTTTTAAAAATCTTTGAAGGATTTAAGATAAATGGTTTTGTGAATTTAGGATACCATCATTAATGAAAAAATTCAACATTTTAATCAGTTTGTTGTCATAATTGTTACGAAATTACAGCATAAGATCTAACATCGTGGAGCTCTCAATTGTTTGTATACTTTTTTATATAAGAGTTAATTTTTGTGATCTAGGAATTGTATATTTTTATATGCTGTGTTTTGTATAAATATATGTAGTTGAAATTTGACTATATAAAGAATATATAATTGTTACTTACGGCTGAATTGTTCTGGTTGCTATTTGAGTGCTACTAAAAAGTGTCCTTGACATAAAATATAAGCCATAAGGACTTGTAAATTGGTATGTAGCTATTTTGACATCGTTGTTTTTCTACTTTAGAATATTGATCTCATTTTCTATATCTATAAGTATTCTGAATGAATGAAACGTAAAAATAGCCAACTGGAATGATGACGTCATAGCAATTATTTAAAAAAAATTACTGTTTGGAATGTTTATTATAAAATTTATATATAATAAAAATTAAACCTAAAACTGTCTATTACTTCACTAACGTTTTAGTGCTTCCTTTTAATAACATACATATAGTCAATTCCTGTGCCGTAGACTTCCTTTAAAATGACGTCGAGTATCGCCAATATCTCGTTGCGGTTTTCGCCACTAATTCTCTCGATCTTGCTCGTCAAAGCATCTCTCTCTAACTTATGCTCGCCGATGAAACTTCCAAGTTTATCGACCAGCGAATTTAGGGATTTTTCGTGGAACAGGAACTCCTTGGGCATCGACTCCACCAAGTTTTCGAGCAGCTCCGCCACCAGCTCGTACGGTTCGTCGTTCTTCTGTAAAATTTCTTCCACTGAGTCTTCGAGAAGTTCTTTGGCGTATTGTATGATGCTTTCTTCGCTCATCTAAAGCATAAAAGCAGTTATGAGTGACGATAAACTTTAAAAATGTCTGGCTGATTTTTATAGTTGACCAGCAATTTTTGACAACTAAAAAAACCAATTTTTATATTTGACACGTTCTATTACAGTTAGCGAGACAAAGCCAGGGGACGTGTGTGTATCATATTTTAACGATGCATCAGATGGCAACGTTGTTCCATTACTGTAATGAACAACTTCGCATCTTAAACTGTTAAAGGTAAGTATACCTCGATGCTATATCTTGCACTAAGAAGTCATAACTATTTACTTTCTGTAAAAACGTGGTTGGAAAATTAATAAGAAATTTGTAAAATTAATTAAAGAAATATATGAATCTACGATTTAATTGTGTGTATTACAAACAAAATAAATATTGCTACAAAACATAAATTAAATATAAATAACTGATGGATTGGACCGTTACTTGATGGAAATTCATTTTATGTAACAATAAAACACTGAAAACTTTCATTTTCAAACGTCCACAAAATTTATTTTAACCTCTTATCACTACAGCGGTTTCGGCTGATTGCCTTTCTCAAGTGATCTATTTTTGGCATGCGTTTACACTTTATAGTCTCTAATGAAATAGGTTGAGGAGGGGAGAACTGTTTGTCTCGAGTTGGTCATTCAGAATTATATCTGTGTTTTTTAATTTGTTAATTTCCATAGATTCTAACAAGGATAGCTTAAGGCCTTTATTTTGAATGTTAAGAATTTTAAATCAGTCATTAAAAGAATGATTGTGATCTAGAAGGTGAAGTGCGTATGTAGAATCTGTTTTTCTATTATTGAAAGCCCTTTTATGTTCTGCTATTCGTTTATTAAATTTTCTACCAGTTTGACCGATGTAAGTTTTTGGGCAGTCATATTCGCTCCGTGCGTGACTGACGCGACACCTACCGCCTTCAACTGACAATTTTGGAGTCCCAATTTTCAGGTTAAATATATGACATATGTTTGACATTGTTAAATACATGCGACATTGACAATTATTAATAAATTAGTTTTTAACTATATTTTTTCAGTTTATGTACAAAATAAATGTAATATTAAAAACTGGGTTTCTCAAAATTCATCATAATATATCTTTTCAACTCCAAACGGAAAAGAAAGAGACAAATCTAGTACTGGCAAATCAAGTTTTTCACGCAAAAGAGCATATAATTAAAAACAGTAATAGTAAAAGTTATGATATAAAAGCTAAAGTCATCTGCAGTTAGCTTGAAGCCATATGAAATATCATTCAAGGTAAATTATTTAAATTTTTCCTATTTCAATTGCATAAAAAATGATATTTACTTTTTCATATCAATAGCACGAATTAATCTTTTTCTTTTCTCTAATTTATATGTAATCTTTGGGAACCTATAAAAACTACACTCACTGTTTTTGCTATTATTAGCACAATTAAATACGCAACATGTATTTCTACACATTTTTGATAAAATTTATGCGTACAAAATCCAATATTTTGTCATATTTCGCCGCTACGCACGCTGGCATCGTTTTAATGTACCCCTACCATGGTCACGCACGGAGCGAATAATCACATTTGGGCGATGGAAATCAACATATTAAAAAACACAGATATAATTCTGAATGACTAACTTGAGACAAACAGTTCTCCCCTCCTCAACCTATTTCATTAGAGACTATAAAGTGTAAACGCATGCCAAAAATAGATCACTTGAGAAAGGCAATCAGCCGAACCAGCTGTAGTGATGAGGTTAAAATAAATTTTGTGGAAGTTTGAAAACAAAGTTTTCAGTGTTTTACATTTATGAATATCATTTAGATATTTATTTTACAATCTTTGTAATTTTTCTCTTGCGGATATTGTAATTATCTTTAATATTTTAATTTTTATAAAAAACGACACATCGAAAAAGTTTTACTTTTTTTATTATTTTTTTTTTAAACAACCCACCACGGCACAATACATTATGGCAAACAAATAATTAGTCTTCTTTATAAAGTAGCTACAGGTAGTCGAGAGGAAGTTGCGTACGATAAACAAATTAGGTGATATTAACGCAGTAAACTGAATGTTTTAGTCGACCTAATAGGCCTATAGTAGCTTTGGATAGAGTAGGGTTGAGATTAAGAGAAAGGGAAATTTTATTAGAGACTCCGCACCTTGATTCTAAAAATTATGTAATCCACTAATTAGGCATCGATAGGTATAACCTATAGATCATCCGAAGGCAGAAATGAACCAAAAAAGTTAATTTAATAGACTCTAAACTTACATCCGGTTTTTGAATGGTGAAAATCTTTTCGGCTGATGATTCTACAAGACTTCTTTGTTTCGTTGTCAGCTCGCATGGTAGATTACTGACTATTTCGTTTATAACTTGTTGAACAGTCACACAGTTGAGTATGTGGCTCAAGATCTTCCTTACCACCAATTCGGCATCAACAGCTACCTTCGACCTCACTTTCATCGTTCCCAATATTTCGTGAATAAGGCTTGATATGATATCCTCAGTTTCAGTTAAGTAGCTATAAAAAAATAAGACATTCATGCACACTAAACGTTTTAAATGTCCTTCTATCGTAGAAGTTTTGATTGGTTCAGTTAGATAAACCCTATACAGATACTTACAAACCCGGCATTTCTATTTCTTGT